CTATCTATCTATCTATCTATCTATCTATCTATCTATCTATCTATCTAGATGAAGAGAAAGGTAGCCATCTGCCTCAACCAGCTGGAGGTTGACATTACAGGAAAGACAAGCGCCATAACAAGCACGTAACACCAGAAAAAAGAGATACCCGCTGAGACGGAGGACAGGAAGACTCACGGGTTAACGAAAACAACGCTGGCTGACTCGTATTCCTTGTAATTATTCCAGCTGCTTTCTGAGAAACATCTGATATGATCTCAACACAAGACATTGGAGTAATTAATTGAATGAATACTAAGGCTGTGCAGTTAGATGAAGTGCATGAGGAAGCATATTGGACCCGATAACACATGGAAACTAATGATGAATTTCCCAAAGCTGGGCCAAATATATTTTTTTGTGTAAGCCAAAAACAATTTTGATGACTTGTTACATCATCGTACGATTTTATATAATTGTAAAAGTGGGTTTTTGTTTCATATCACATTTATAATGATGAATATTTGTTGGAATCTGCACAATTTTGTTGTAATTTGAAAGCCATTAGACTAGATTTGAATGGAAAAAGGAAGATCAGTGATAGTTGGGCACCATACATGTGCTCGACAATCCTGCCCTGTAAATGAATTTGTCTTTTTTCTGTTGTGGTCTAAAGCAGATAAAAATTCAAACATCACGAAAAAAGAGACGTTCCACAGCTTGAAGTGTTTTGTCTGGCTCAGCGCTGTCTCGGTTTGCCAGCCGCAGAACACGATTCCCAGGAAAGAATGTATGGATGTAATATATTCACCCCACCTGTGTGTGTGCGGCAGGCTGCAGCGCAGGGTTACATAACTAAGAAAGAAGTGGTTATGACAGTAAAACTTGACAAGCCCCTTTCATGTTACGAACTTTTGGGTTTTACAGAATAAAGAGAGACGACACCACCGATCCCAGACTTTAGTCATGGTTTCAGAATATGCTGATGTTTTACGGAGCCATAAGCTCTTATCTGTTTGTGGGGGTGCAAATTTCTGTCCTTACATAACATCTCAGAGGTCCAATGGTCGAGTCAAAAAATGTTTTTTTTTGCTGTTTTTTAAGCTTTAAGTCATGACAAGATGGATTTATTTCATACTGGATTGTCACAATTTATTTCAAAAAGACAATTGACACCATTCTGCCTCTAAAAGCTCTTTAAATTGTTGGTGATCAGGAGGATAGGAGATGGTGAGTTAAACTGACTACAACAACCTCACTATCACATAATATTACTTGTTACAGACACTGAGAGAATATTTCTGTTAGATTAAGAAACAGCCTCTCTGTTACATTATGAGTATTCATGTGCATTTTTTATCCTAAGAAGCTTTTCTATATTACATTGAATGTACTGAACGTTGGGCAGCTCTCAGCAAGACTCTGCATATTTCACAAGTTCTGTTCCACCGCTCCAACCCCACAAACATCCTGTTCAGCCTCTCGGTTATTCAATTTAGTGGGAAAATAGTCATATGGCTTCGCTCTTAAAAGTTCAAATAACAAGGGGAAAAAAGATTCTGTGCTGACAGCGCTTTTGGGCAACAGAAATAGTTATATTTATGGTTGTGGCTAAGACAAGCTGCCCACGGACTTGGGGAGGAATGTGTAGTTGTGTGGATAGACTGACTTAAGTTGATTTGAAATATAACCCAAATGCCTTGAAAACTTTAGATGTGTTATCCCTAACACACTTTATCCCTGTGGGTATGTGCACTACAGAATAAATCAAGGGCTTGACTGATGTCATATTTTCCTGTATCAGAAGAATTCATGAAAAAATGACTTAACAAAAACAAAAAAACAGATGAAACACTGTTGAACCACGTATTTTATTGTTGGAGCTGCATAATCCAGTCTCCTTAAGATGACTACATTAATTTCAGATATCATGGGACACTGTGGCTCCGTATTTCTGAGCCCTGGGGCATGCTGGTCAATGGGCAGGGCAAGACAATTCTTGGTGTGGCTTTTCGCTATTTGAAGACACGACAATATTTCTCCCATCTATTTATTTGGATGTTGACTTGGACGTCTCGGCTGTGAAAAGACAAATGATGCTTGTTATAAAGCACATACAGAGGGACTCTACTAAAGTGTTGTGGATTTGAATTTATTCTAAGATAACATCCATGCAAATTTACCCCTTTAAAGTGCATAAAATGGTTAAATCAGATGAGCCTGGTGCAAAAATTATTTGTGAGGCCCTTGAGTACTCAGTCAATATTTGCTCAGGACGGCACGTTGTTCACGTTGTTTGAAGATGGGGTGGGGTTAGGGTTCCTACGGAGTGCTGGCAACCTCTCGGCACAGGTTGGCAGGGGAGTCCGAGTTGGATTTTGGCGGAGTCCGGCTGCACCCGTGGTTAAAGGGATTACAGGCAGATCTGTGCAGAGGGCTGATTAACTCTGCCACGAGGTTAAAAAGCTCCCGTTAGTATAAGTGAGTGCGGTGGGATCATACGGCATCCTCTCCAGTTCCAGGAGTGGAAGGCGATAACGTAATCCCAGAGGCCTCAGACAGACAGCGCACTGTCATTAGACCGGATAGGAAATCGTAACGTGACAGCCATGCACCTGCGCTGATGGATGGAGCTGTTTGGCACGAAGTGGAGACGTCTTTAAAACAAATGAGTTTGTGTGGTCCTTTTGCAGCTGATGCCTCAGTCAGCATCTGCTGAGAGATTTTAATATCAGTGCATTAGTTCAATTTCCAAATTACAACAGTTCAGCTGAGTGAAACAGTTTAGCCCCACTGGTTGCTATAGAGACAGACTGTCACCCGTGGCGTTACGTAGCAGATTGAGCCACACAGATATATAGCTCAATAAAAAAGTCTTGAAAAATTATCCCCTGCAATTTATCACTTGTGCTTATGAGGGTCATTTATCGCTATATTGTTTTATTGAGATTCTGCTGCCTTGTAGAAGCGTAGGATATAGAAGCAATTTACTTGTGATTTTGTTTTCTTTTTAGAGTGTTGCATTTGTTACGTAAGTTCAGTAACAATTGGATAATCCTCAATTCTTATTCTTTTGACCTATGCACACTCATTTTAGCCTTCAGTTTTGGAGAGCAGAAACATTCTCAGTGTGTCTCACACTGATTTACTAAAATCAGTTAAAGGTGATAAAACAATAAGTCGTAACCATTGTAAATTCTTCATCAAAGTACACATGTCTTGAATATTTCTGACTGCAGTTTTTTTATATCCATTTATCACAAGTCACAATTAGTCAGCTTGTTTAGTTTCTTCTTACTACTTAATTTCTGACATTGCATCGATCTCTTAAAGTTTATACCTACGTTATTTGTGTAAAATTAGCTATATTGATGCTTGCAATTATCTCTTAAATGCAGCTCCTTAGAATTTATACAGAATTGATTGTCTAAGAGGGAAAAGCAAGAGAGGTGCAAGTGTGAAATCACGTTCACATTTAAAAAGAGAAAAGGACATTAAACTAGTAACTCCATTACATGACTTACTGTTGGAGCAAACCCAGCTTTTAAAAGTATTAATAAAATTACAGATGAGCACAATGTAAAACTATCATTTCTTTTACTTTTAGGTTCCAGGTTGACTTTGTTAGAAACTACGAGCTCACGGTCCATGTTATAGCTTCATGTTCTCATCAAGCCCAAAGGTTATTTCCTTTAACCCACAACATCACTAGAGTCCCTTTCTACATAATTATTGGCTAGAAGGTTGGATGACAGCTCTCTGTTCTGAGAAATCCATGCTTTCTGTCTGTCATAAGTGATTTTATCTCTCACTTTCCTGCAGCGATGTGGATATAAATACTCCAGTATGGGTTACACGGCACCTGCAATAAGAGCTGTAACAGCCTTAAGTTAACATATCCAATTTACGTACAATCTGCATGTGTAAATCAGCCAATCCATTTGTTAAGAGCCCTCATTGTTTATCTTAACATGCCTTTTTTGCGTGTGTGTGTGTGGATATCATGTTGTGTGTTACTGATATAGTGTGACTTGAAAGAGGTAACACCAATTTGCCTTTATCACCCCGTTGTTGTGCAGAGTCTAGCCACATGGGAGTCAGAGAACAAGATGTGCTGTCAGCAGACTCTGGTGGACGGTAATGGCCCCAAAACCTACTGGACCCGAGAGCTGAACGGAGATGAGCTTACTCTGGTGAGTGCGCAGCAGTCAATCGTCTCCTCACAACAATACTGGAAGTCATTCACCCAAATGACTAAATAAAAACTCAACTCTAGCCCTGTAATACCAAATGTATCATATTTGATTCATACGGTTTCTGAAATGTTTTGCGTCTGACACCTTTTGCATAATTTAATATTAAAAACTTTGCTCAAAATCCCGTTGTACACAATCAGATATACCTGATAACAGGGGGTAGAAGACTACACAAAAAATAATCTTGACCTATCGCATAGTAATAAATTATTAATATATTTAAAAAATTGTTTTTTCTTTTTATATATTTTGTTAAAAGGCCAAATAAAGACTAAAAACAACAAAAAAAGTAATTTTCTGTTTTGTTTTATTCTTGGATCAGGCTTTAAAGGGCTAGGAACACAAAAGTACCAAAAATTATAGGGCGTTAGAAATTAAAAACTTTGCCCAACAAGTCAAAAATTAAAAATTTAAAGAAAAAAAAAGCAACCACAAAATGTTATTCTGCCTAAAACAAATGTATGTCAGTCAATTCTGTGGCTTCTTCTCACAGAGACAACGAGGAGATCAGATGCAATCCGACAGCATTGTCAAGCAGCCAGTGTGTTACTCCTTTTTGAGAAATAACTTAAGAAATCGGGGTAGGGAGAGTATGAGGTCACTCCGGAGATTCAGCCTCGAAGGAATCGAGAGAAGCTGCTTTCCCAAGAAGCTGAGCTTTCATCCGCCCCGCGGAGAGTTGTGAAATATGTTGCGGTAATACCCCGTGCATTTAGTCTGATTAATATGTGCAGGAGTCAGTGGGTCTAAAGCCCCTTGAACTATGTGCAGGCAAGCAGCGGAGGACTTTACACACCAGACACACAGTTCTCAGGGCCTAAACGCATCCCTTCCCTCTTTCCCTCTACTATCAGAGCTCCCACGCTGTGCTCTGCTGCTCCTCAAGTTTTTACAGGACGATTCTCCACCGGGCAGAAGTTGATACAACAACATGGAAGGTTTACAGTGGGGGAAATAAGTATTTGACCCCTTGCTGATTTGGCAGGTTTGCCCACTTACAAAGAATGCAACGATCTATAACTTTAATCATATGTACATTCTAAATGTGAAAGACAGAATCCCAACGAAAAGAATTTTTATAAAAATTGATAACCATCTGATGAGGAAAAATAAGAATTCTTTGTAAGTGGGCAAACCTGCAAAATCAGCAAGGGGTCAAATACTGATTTCCCCCACTGTAGATAATTAAAAAGTCATCACTTGATGTTTGCGTAGCTTTATGTTACAGCAGGCTGGAGGCAAGCGTGGATAAAAGGGAGGGTGAGCAGCATTTGGGAAATGCTGGAGTGTTTCATCTGAAGCTCCTCTTTGTTCAGGCAGAGCTTGTGAACTCCTCGGTGGTGCGTGGGTGATAAAAGCAGAACGCGGTACAGCGCCTGCCCCTCTGGTGACACTGGCCTGCTGCCCCGGAGTAGCCGAGGCATTCACGCACTGATGGAGATCGATTTGGCCCAAACTGTGAAATCAGCTGAGGCTCTTTGTTTCTCAGCTCTTCTCACGTCACTTCTCCCCAAACGCTGGCAGTGTTGCCGCCACACAGTCGCGGTACCGAAATCCGCTACTATTTTCTGAGGAGTAAACATGAGAGAGCAGTCCTTGTTTGGGCTAGATGAGGTTAACCATGTGGTACGAGCATGAAAGGAAAATAGAAATGACAATACGAAGTCCAAGTCATTCATTCATATTTTGACATCTGTTGTTAATTTCTTCAATCTGTGGTCGCTTCAGTCAAAAATAATTCCTGCTACAGGCACAAGGATGAATGAAATAGTACAATAACTGATAATTCAGCGTACAAAAGAACATCTTGAACAAATTATAGAAAGTTCAAATGTATGTAGTTGCAAAGTCTTTCATGTTCTACACATTAATACATGTGTTGATTATTTTTCTTTAACTGGAAATTATTTATTGGTGTTTCATTCTTTCGGTTATTTCTTAATTCATTTGTTTAGTTTGATTTTGAAGATTGAGGCAGCGTCAGTAGTCTATACAGTATGTATAAAGAAATCTTGTTGGAGACCAAAGCCAGATAAATTTTCTCTTTACATTTTTACTGCCTTTTGATTCTTTCTTTAAAATAAGCATTAGAAAATAGACATACAAATATATATTAGTTATTTTGTATTATAATAACCAGAAGAAAAGGCTGCATTCTGACCATCTAATCTGTTAGGTTGAACATTTATATAAAAGAAATTGGGAGAAAATCCCAAATGAAACTTCCGCTGAAGTTGTTTTCAGCGTAACAAAAAAGGGAACAGGGCTTTATGTTGGGCTTTAAAATTTTAATAAACAAAAAAATCAAAGTTAGGTTCAAAAACACGATCTGTGATGATAATTGAATATGTAACTTATATAAATTATTGAAGAATACACGTTTGAGGCAGAAGCAATCGCACCGAGACAACCCTATTTTTTGTGTGACAAGAAGTCTGGAAAACCCCCTTGTCAGAAATCTGCATGATCTGTGTTCATGACATGTCATGCATGTTGGGTCTGAAGAAATTTAGAGACTTTAGTGTGACTAGTGTTGACTTTCCCACCAGCATGAAATGAAACCAGGACATTTACACATCTGAGGACTGGAATGAAGCGTGTGCATAAATCAGTCTTGAAGAGATTGCTTTTGGTTTCATCATCAAGTACTTTCCAGAGAAGTGAAAGATGTTTCTTAGCCATAATAAATGTGGACAACCATCAAAGCTAAAGTCTTATTATCTGAACGCAGTCAGCGATTTTAATCACACAAAAACGGGATCTTAAAAAGAGTCTCTTTCATCCTTTATTTGGTTGTTCACCCTAAAAACTGCCTGACATGGCTCCTGTCAGACGTTTCGAATGCTGTTTGCTTTAAGTGAAATACTTTGTTTCCTTTTTTAAAGTAAAAAACAGGACAGGGTTAATTACCATGAACTAACTAAAATGTTAAATTCTCTTCATGTATCCCACAGACGTTTGGGGCGGATGATGTAGTGTGCACAAGGATTTACGTCCGGGAGTGATGCTGCGCAAAGTTCCTTTGGACCAAGCTCATATACCCCTGTTGTGCTAACTTGCTAACACATTTGCCAAGTATCTTGCATCATCTCGCTGCATCAGTAACAGTAATATCCACATACAGTAGCTAAATCTCTGTAATCTGGTTATGCTAAGTGAACGTCGTGTTTGCATTCCAGTAGCTTGATATCTTAATGTCCATATCTGCAACCCTGTTGTCCGCTGTGATTTTAGGATTTACTCACCAGTCACTTCAATCAACTGTTCGTGTTTGATGAAAGGAAACAATAAAAATGGAACAAACTGAACCTGTGTCTTTTTTTTTCCTTTACGAGTAGGGATCAGCCTCTATACCCGAGGCCAGGAAGGCCAAGCATGACTTTGATTTTGAATATATTTTCTCCCTGAATACAAACAGGTGAAATGGTGTGATCCTTAAATCCCATTGGAATAATAGGTATGGTCATGCAAATCTTGCATTTGTCTGGAATAGATTAAAGATACATGCTGATTAAAACCCAACTCAACCTCTTCTGTCTCCTAACTCCGAAAAGATTAAGAAAAACTGAACAGATGAACAGAGTGAGACTCAACAAATACATGCCTGTACTAAATGAAGTGAGCTGTGATTTCCCCAATAATTGGACTTTAAACCAAGGAAGACATTATGCTTGGAAAATGTACTTCTAAAATCAAAGGGAAACTCAGATCATGTGACTCACCCTCTGGGCTCATCATTTTGAGGCAGAAAGATTAGAAGAAACACACGCAAGTGGCTTTGAGGTGACTTAATCTATCTGACCTATTTTGCTCCACCAGACCTTCAATCTGTGCATAATTTTACAACATTTCAGCAAATGACTGAAAAGAATAAAGCGGCATATTTTACTTAAACCATTTGGCTGATGTTGATATTTGGTAAAGTAAACCCATCATATATGTTAAAGTGTAGGTGTTAGTGTGAAATAAATCTCAGTCTCAGATCTTTTTTCCCCCCTCCATACAGTTTTAGGTCACAAATAACATTTCTGACTAAAAAGGTGACTAACATAAATAATTATTAATTATAATCATTGTAACCGAGAGGTGTTTATGTTTGGATAAATTAATGCTAAGAGAGAAAGAGCATGTGACTGGATTATGAATATCTCTAGTAATAAAGCAAACATCACAACTGAATTAAAAAAACATCACAAAAAACCCATCTACAATTAGGTGGTACTGTCTGCAATGAAAAAGAAGTATCAAAAGCAACAGATTTTTTTAGTTTAAAAAAACTGAAAATGATAATTTGGCAGCAAAAGTATTGTATATTATCCTTGAAATGCTCTAGATTTTTTAAAACAGTTTAGCTAAAATAGCATGCTCACTCAGCTGACTGAAAACACAAAGTGGGAAATGATTACATTTTTTTGCCAGTACATTTGTGAGAGTACTTTACAGTCCCCACAAAATGATATTCAGTTTGTTTGTTTTGGTGAGATAGGTCACACAGGCCTCAAAGGCCAGTACCTGGGCCTAAAGCAGAGGTGTAGTATATGATAAAACTATCCACGAACAGACAGCAAATATTAACATTAGCATGCTATATTAGCATTAGCATGCTCCAAAGCTCCAGACCACAATGACTCAGCGTTTGTACTCTCCTAAAGGCGAGGGTTTGTCTGAAACTACAAAACAGTTAAAGTGCAAGCTTTAAACCTTTGAGCAATGCAGCCAAATTGCGAACAATGGAATTTATAGAGTTGGATGCACCAATTTCTTTTAGATACACAGACCCTGAATTCTAACTTCAAACAGCCAGACTGATTATCGTCTGGAATCATATTTCGAACCATTCTCACTTATTGCCAAACGCTAAACAGATATGTCCGCCAAGACTAACAAAAGCAAAAAAATACATTTCTAATGAGTTTCAAGTTTTAATTATTGGGGTTTGGTCCAATAGTCTGTCATGAAGAACCTTCATAAGAGGGGAAAATTACTGAAATGATAATAGCTGTTCTCAAGCTTCAAAGGGGGGGAGAAAGGAGCTCCAATACATCCTTAGGCCTACCCATCCTTTACATCACAGCTTAGTGTCAGCGTCACTGAATTCTCATTGCAGCAGAATTGCCTTCTTTTCTGTCATTTCAAAGGATGTTTCCTGTAATCCTTCTTTAATCCAGTGAAGTTTTGTGAGGTCATGGAAAAAATGCACAGGTGCACAAAGATAATATATTGAAACTTTCTGACGATTCTGTCAGACCTGCGTTATTTATTTTCAAATCAGTACCCACGATAGTATGACTGGACAACCATTTTTTACATGCAAAGCATGCCAAGAAAAACATTTAATGACAACTTTACTCTACTTCACAGTTCACTGTCAAAAATAAATGAGGTATTTTCTCAGCTTATGTACTCTATATGGCTAATAACTGTACCAAGAGGCACATATTATTACTTTTAGAGGCCCTAAAAGGTACACTTAGCAATTAGTAAATGGACAACAATGGCAGTTTGAAGGTACTATCCCAGTGAAAAGTCTTGGAAAGGAGCCGACTTTTCTGAAGGCTTTTTTTTTCTATTTTCAACAAGAATTTTTGGGTTCTTTTTTCTATTATTTGGTTTTCTTAAATCTGCACTACATTAATCAACCTTTTTTTTAAGCAAGAATAATGTGGAATATATCGTTCTCACAGACTCGATGACGCTGCCAGTTCTAAAAAAACAAAATTGTGTGTGTGTATTTTACGTGTTTAAGTGCTTCTTAAGAGCTGCCATACAGTCAGCTGCTTAAGCCAGAGTGGGCACTAACATGCAAATCTGTTTTTTTTTTATTGAAAAACCTTTTGAGAAACTTTTCCCAGGCGTTTCCTCTGAGCAGGTGCACGAGACACAGCGTGGGCCAGCTCGGCCTCGGCCTCACCAGTGGTCGGAGGCCTTGGCGCAGACTCCAAACCCGGTTCTATGCGGTGAAACGGCGAGAGAATGGCACGCCATCAAAAACAAAAACAGCAAATCTGTCTTTGTCTGTCATGGCTGCCAGAGATTAAAAGGTTGTCTTTTCAACACTTCGACCCTGTGAGGACTAACGCTGTGGCCGTTCCCATTCCTCAACGCCAGCACTGCGGGACGAGGCTGTGCCAACCCTGCTTTTTGACCTGGTATCCCATGAAAGAATGAGTTTCCTCCTGAGTGCACTACAATGCTCTGGGAAGCAATGGCTAGGGCGCGCGCCTGCTGTGATGTTAATTTAATGACGAGCTGCCGTTTGGACGGCAGATCCAAACAGTTGAATAAAGGGATTGTTGTGTTTTTGCTCCATTTTGCAGAGAAGCTTGGTGGGGGTGAGGTCGGGTGGGGTGGGGGTCCCACAAACAGTTGAACCTCTGTGAGAACACTAGAGTACAGCAATGCCTTTTCCAGGAAGAAAAAAAAACAAACAAAGACCAAGCGCGTTTCCCTCCTCTTCCTCATTAGCTCCTCGCAGGCTATCTAACGAGCTTTTGGTTTTGTGAAAATGTTCTGTTAGATTTTTCTTAGCAGAAAGATCTTAAGCTAATTAATGCACACTCTAAGATGAATTAAGGTTACCACTAACCAAGTTCTTTCTTCTCAGGTTTGCACATTCCAGCAGTAGGTAACTATTTTGTATACAAGACTATTGACCAGTGTGACTATAGTAGACATAATGTTTACTTTTAAATAAACAACCAAAACAGTTTGGCTTTGGGCTACAGGACTCTGCTGGCTTTTGTTTTGCACGGAAATAATAAGAAGGATATTTACTTCATTCATGAAAAATAATTCCGTTTCCATACCTGGTATATCCCATCTAGGATCACAGGATTTGCCGGAAGCTTTCCCAGCTGCCATTTAGTGAGAAGCGAGGTTTCCAGTTCATTTCAAGCCTACAACGAATGAATGCATCTATGCTATTCATGGTCCTTTCAAAGGACTATGAATTGTTTGAGCCATTTTTGATAAAGGATTAATGGCATTAATAAATAAATCTATCTTTTCTGTGACATAATCTATATAAAGTATAAACTCATTAAGCATGAAACATCACGGTTAAGACAACCAATATTAAACTGAACAAATAATGAATCCTCCCATAGAGACAAATACATTAGTTATGTTTGACTGATGCACCGTTTGTGTGACATCACATTCTGTATGAAAAGATAGAAGCCATATCATTGTTTGAAATTGATCAGATGATACTCAGTATATATTTTATAGACTCCAAACATGTAATAGAGAAGAGGCTGTGGCTGGAGGAGCACTACTCTAACCACCAGGGCTTTTGTCACTCAGCAGATTCCACGATGCATTCAAGGACACACTAATGCAACAATGAGTCCCCTTTGGGTGATATACCAGCGGTCCACAGCTACAGCTTGTGTTTCTGGTCCAAACAAGTTTGAGTTGTCATTTGAGGCTCCCAAACAAGCGTTTGATGCTTTATAATCTAGTTGAAAGTCTGGAAAGAGACTTTCTATGTATTTTTACCTCTGCCAATAACAGATTTGACCTGAATTGCTCAGATTCATTTAAAAATGTTTACTAAGGGTAGTAATTATGTCCTGTCGTGGCTCCTGTAGTTGAACAGTTATTCAAAGTGGACATCAAACTGATCGGAACATGCAAATCCGTGCCCTCATATTTAACCCTGACATGTGGCGTGGACTAACCCTCCTCTCTGATGCCGGAGCACATCAACCTACATGCATCCGATATGAGGACCTTTGGAAGATGTAAAAGGTCAAGTGCGCCCAAGTGTGCGTGCATACATGGGTGGCAGTTGTCACATTAAATTACCATGTGTACGTTTTTTTTCTTCTCTGGCATCCCCACTGACTTTCATCTTGTGATATATTTAGTCCTACAAGTCTCGATAAACGGTATTCGCAGGAGGAGACAGAGTCAGATTCGGCATTTTCTGCCAGTTGCAATTTGGCTCACAGAATAACGAGTTCGAGAGTAAAGTGTTAGGAGCATATGTTATCACATAAATTTAAATCCCTAGACTTAGATTTTGGCAAGATGTCACTCATGGTTCAGTAGAGGAAGGATTTTCCAGTTTTAGTATTTCAAAACTGATGGACTTCGTTTCAGGTAATCTTGGATTTTTGCTCATTTTTGAAGAGACTAACACAAATCTTATTGAAATCATATTGAAGATCACAGGGTATTGGATTTAAGCACTCTATGATGGACAAGAGTTTAACAGCTTTGATACCCGTTTCATTGGGTGACACCTAACAAATCAAATATCACAACAGCCCATCTCATGTCCACTGGAAAATGCACCTACAGTACAATGGTCATCTGGGCATATCAACAATGGGCAATACTTTCTTTAACAGCATGTAAATGAAGGGTCCATGTACACTGTTTTTTCTAGGAAGAGTGCAGTTTGATCCTTTAAACCATATTCTGACCCTGGGTGTTGTCATTCATGTGGATATCACTTTAACACAAAGCTAAACATGGCTGTTGGCCCGTCCAGGGTGTTTCCTTCCTCCTGCTGAATGGCAGCAGAAATAGGCTACTGCTTTGTGACCTTGACCTGAATAGAGCAGGTATGAAAAATGGATGGATGGATAGATGGACATACCCAAACACAAGTTGAAAACGCTATTCCCTGATGGCAATGTCCTCTTTCAGGAAGATAATAATTCCTTCCCCACGGCAAACATGGTTTGAGGAGCATGAGGTGTTGACCTAGTTCTTATATTTTTCTATCCCAATTGAACAACATGGTATATGCATGAAAAAAAAGCCATTACCACGAAAAAAAGGATCAGCTAGAGCAGGGCTAGTGTCAAGGTCAGATCAAGGTCGTTTTGGTTGCAAAGGAGGAATATACTAAGATATGTTCTTTATTATCTAATTCATATAGTTTAAAATATATTTGCTTAGAATTTACACAGTACGTGGATTGTTATATTCATTACAGTTAGTCCTATAGTAAGAAAAAAGAGAAAGGTCTATTTTTAGTTATGTCATCAATGGATGAATCCTTCCGCTACATTTGTGAGGCCAAACCAGTGTCATCCAATCAATAATTTGTTGACAGCTAGGGGGATAAAACCACACACAAAGCTAGTTTGCATTTTTGCTGACATAATCAGAAAAACATTTCTTATTAATAATGTTATGTTTTTCTTTCTTTCAAATGTGCCCCATATCATGGATTCTATACTATCACTAAGGGACCATTTCCACTGACTTTCAACATCATGTTATAAAGAACATACAAGAAGACTAGCAATTTTCTACTGGTATTTTGTATATTCATTAAAATATAGCACATCCTTGAACCCAACTCGCAAAGGGCTGGTCTCATGGCTCTATAATAAAATGATGAGTACGAAAGGGTCCTCCTCACCTGAACTTAAAACTGCATGGGAAGAAGATTTGAATATGACTATTCCAGATGAGACATGGGACTCTATACTTAAACTGGTGAATACAACATCTATGTGTGCGCGCCATTGTCTCATTCAGTTCAAAATAGTACATAGAGCCCATTTCTCCAAAAGCAAACTGTCTCGTTTCTATCCAGAAGTCACCCCATGCTGCGACAAATGTAAAACTAGCGTAGCCACACTAGTTCATATGTACTGGTCCTGCCCCGCTCTTGGTCAGTTTTGGACAGATGTTTTTCGTACAATGTCTGGGTTGGCCGGGGTGGTGGTAACACCTGGCCCCCTCCTGGCTCTCTTTGGGTTCGGTGGTGAGGGGTTGCCTTTACCAGCCTCTAATCGACGGGCCCTGGCATTTTGTTCACTGATAGCGAGGCGAACAGTTCTGACCAGGTGGAAGGGTTCTGCTCCTCCAACTCACAAGCAGTGGCTTTGTGACCTCATGTCGTGTTTGAAACTGGAAAGGATTAGATGTTCTCTTCAACACGCAACTGGTAAATTTGAAAAAACATGGGGAGCCTTTCTTGACTCATTTCAAAACATACAATAATGCTCCAGATTATTTAAGTTAATTGATTTTATTAAGATATGTTCCATTTCTGTCAGGGATAGGAATGTAGTGGGTGGACCTACTGGGCAGTGACCTGGGTGGGCTAAAGGGGATTACTTTGGAGGGATTATTTTCTCTGTGTGTATTATTTTATGTATGTGTTAGATATACTTTAACTAGATACACTTCTTTGTATTCACAAACTGTATGTATTTAAAGAAAAAACTCAATAAAAAGACAGTGATTAAAAAAATATAGCACATCCTAAAACACTCAAGATACCATAATATGAACCTAGCTAGACTTGGTCAGATGTAGTTGGTAATCACCAAATGGATACCTAAATTTACTTTCTGTACACACCTATTTCTTGCAGTTCGCCGCTCATTTGAACCAGTTTTTTTTTTTACATTTTAGCCAAACTAAGTAAAAGCTGGTTAACAGTGACGGCAGGCAAAGGGGGGTGACACAACTCCAGGCTACGTCATGCAGGTCACCTCCCTTACTTAAGTAAAACTTTTACTTAACCGAACATTGTGAGTGTTAAAGTAAAAAAAAATTTCATAAGATTTAGCTAGTAGGAAAGAATTTTCATTTCTCCTACAGTTATTTAGGTAAAGGTACTCCCAATTGGTTTGGTAGACAGTCAAATGCTAACATGCTAAAAAGGGCCCAGTGTTAATATTTACTACCGTAGGATGTTGGCATTCGGAGGGTTGATAATTAGCACTTAGCCTAAACTGGAAGTTCCATAATTTCTTGCCTTGGTTTAGGCACTAAAAATGTAGGTGCACCAAAGATCTGCATTTTGACAGCATGGCTTTACCACCCGTATTTGATTCATCGAAGCTAAACAGGTACCTGAGGCTACTTCTTTATGATTAAACAGCATTTATGTTTGCTGTATTTTTCTAGAGCTGAGCACATAGAAGTATCCCAGCACCACACCAGCAGCTCAGCGCACAAGCTTCGCATCGGTTATGTAAGACCTCCAGACGGAGCTAATCCTTTTTCTTTGGCGGTGAGGGGAGCGCTTCCTCATCACATCTCAGCCGTGGGCCCACAGGCTCTGGAGTGGAATGACCAGACAGTCGGAGCCAGGAGAAGAGCTCAAAAAGTGATTTGTGGTATCAGTGGCTGCTCTGGATATCGTTCTGAAACAAAGAAGTAGGTTGCAGCAGCATGGCGTGAGATGTGTCTGCAGAGCTTCGAGAGTTAAAACCAAACCTAAACGTTTCTGGATGGTCTGAACCTCTCCGGTGGAGCTCTGTTTTCACTGTGCTCTGAGAGTGAACGACGCCGGTTGAATTCTGAGTCCCTCTAACGAGAGTAATGAGCAGAAATGCGCGCGGTCGCTCGGCGAGTTAATTGCCCCGGACTTGAAAAGTGACGAGGCCTCCCAAGCCGGTGGGGGGGGGGGACAAGGCCGGCTCTGTGGCGGTGACAATGGGTTTGCTCCCTCCAGTCAGAAGTTGCGGAAGCGCCCGCTTTGGGGAGGCTGAAAGCCATTCGAAGCCCAGGAGTGTGCACTCCAAGAAACTAATCACGCAGAAGGGGCTTTTGGGAAGTAAAAGGAGGAAGGGGAGTCCTCCAAAACCAACGGGAGGGATGGAAGGCCGCGCTGGCATGCGTGAGCCTCACTCCTCATCAGCACCACAGCGGCCAAAAACCAGCCCCAAGTGTTCTTTAGCTGGGAGTGCACAGGGGTCTGATGTTTGGTCCAACAGGGTCCATTTGGGGGGGAAATACTAACACTACTTTGTTAGGATTTGTCTATAAATACTCACTTTAGCATAGCATGCTATCACATGATCTATGCATATTACTGATTGTTTTATTTTCTATTATTATTACTATATTTTGTGTTGAAGTCTCTGGCTGTGCCCACAGACTCTCTCTTTTCTTTCTCTGTTTGCATTAGATCCACCTCTCTAAGTCAACACAAACACACACACACATCATTTGGTACCACATTCCAATGTCATCAACATGAATTAGGACCTAGCTTGTTAGTCTTAGAGGTAACTAACCAATAGGACTTGGTTGTGTCCAGTCTGTGAAGAGCCCAGCGCTGAAATACTTTACCTGTGACCCAATAAATGTCAATTTTTTACTCTTGATGTACTCTGGCTTATTCTCAGGTTTCCAATTAAAGAATCGGGTTAACAAGTGGTGCCGTGACCAATCGGGTTAACAACTTAAAGAGCAAACGTGTCTGGCTCCTGAGCGGAGCTTTGGTAAAGAGTGCAGAAATCTCCCCACGACCAGGATTCCAACGCGTTTCCCCGGGTTTTCTCTCACGTCCACAGCTTGGCTGGAACTCCAGCTTTCAAAATAAGCATATGCTTAAATTGGCAAAACTGAACCTGAGGCGTCCAAAACAGGGAATGAGTCGTGGCGTCTATAAGCTGGAGTTTTTAAAATGGCGCCTGACATTTGATTAATTCAAGTTAGATTTATATTACAGTGACGGTTTATGGATTGAGGCTTAAGATGAAAGCAAAGCTGTGTTAAATTTTAAAGCAAAAGGGAACGCAATGATTGGTAGATCTCAAACTAATAATTCACTGAGGACAGCATACATGACAAAAAGTTGATGGCTCATATTAAGACATAGTTCATGATATTTTAGTGGGTGTGGCAACTTGACTTTTAAAGAGATGAGTTTTGAATATCCTATGGGTAAAAGACAATCTGAAGTTTTTCTTTTCCTTTGTCCAGATTCCATATGAAGGCAGTGTAATGATCATAAATGGAAACCTAAAAGCACGTGTCAATGCGAAGGGACGATGGTTTCAGAGCTCCCTCTGCTGGACCTTAACAGGAAAAACAAGATCTACAACCTATCCGGTGGAAAAGGTTTTTTCATGTCAGTGATCAGAGAAATGTCCCACTTTCTGGAACATAATTTGCCTTTTCATATAAGAGAAATATTTGCATTTCCAAAAGGCTTCAAGGTCCTTTTGACACACTGATAAACGCAGAAAAGTTTGCTGTAATTTGTATTCTACTTTCATAAAGCTCTGACTTCCAACCGATTAAAAAAAAAAAAAATCATGTAACCTCATATTAGACCAACAACGGAGTGAATGGATAAACTCACCTGAAGCTTTTGCTAAAAATACTGAAAATATGTGAATTGACAGACGAAACAAACAAAAGAAAAAACACTCAAACTTCTCGGTAAGCTACAAATGTTTTTATTATTACTTTAAATAATGTCTAAATAAAGGGACTAAAGACATGCTCATGTGACTTCTTCCAATATCAAAAATATGGTGTGGCTTGATGCTTGCAGCAGAAATCTACCCAGGGGAGGGAGGCGTGCATCACAAGGTGAGAGTGTTTTGGGTGGGGGAGGGGGGCACCATCACCACGGACGGCGTCGCTCACAATAAGAAAAAAAAAGGTGGGAGCAGTGCTTTTTTTCTTAAACCAATGGCCAGATTTGGAGGAGAAAAGAAAAAGGTTTTTCTTTTATATAAAAACTGAAATACCTGGATACATTTCTACTTTTCCCCATGTTTTCACTACAGAAATTAAAAAGCATAGACATAAAGAATCACTCAAAGGGGGGGGGCAAAAAACCAGCTATCTCATATTCAACTCCCTTTGGTAAAAACGGTAGTAAATGGTCTCGCATTTTGTCTTTTTCATGTACATACTAACTTTAGCCGTTTCTCACTAAAGTCCACAGTAAGCTTGAAAAGTATGACTAGCACAACAACACAGATCTGTCATAAAAAGTCTGAGACTATATACAGTGTATTTACAACATGAGCGTAATGTGGACAGTCCTCCAAGAACGAGACGAGAGTGTGTGTGTGTGTGTTTATGGGTGTGTGTGCGCGTACAAGCTGGTGTACTGGAAGAGGGCATCTTAAAAAGGTTGACCTCCAGGGCGGCAAGGATCATGTGTGTTAATAGAACTATATATAACATATGTACACAACACATACACTGGAATACATGTCAGTATCTGACATTCACAAGCTATACAATTTTACAGTCTGAGACCCAACAGTGTTGTAAGGCTATTTTTTTTCTTTCTTTTTGTTTTTTATTTTATTCTTCTTTGTTTGGATCCAACAGTGCTTTTCTACGTTCACCCGACAATACGGTTTGGGGCTCAGGCACAGTTTCTAATAATGCTGCCATGTGTTTTGGAAGAGGAAATGCGACCCCTCTTTCCCGGCTAGTTATGATACATGATTGCGATTTGGCCGTAACGCAGGAATGTCGGAACGAGGTCCCTCAAGACGCGACTGATCTCCCTCCAAAACCACCTGGGAAACAATGTTTTCCTCTTCCTAAATAAGTGCACTTGTCCATCGCATTGTTCTTCCGGGAATACTACGGAATAACACTTTTTCGCTGTGATCCCTGTGTGACTGATTTCTGGCGGGAGGAGCTGTGATGGCTTCAGACAAGGCGGGGTCGGTAAAACGCCGGGCCGAGGCTCGGCCGTGATAAAGTACAAAAAGCACCACTCTATCTCTTGTAGGCTCGCTGCGTACGTGGCTGGAGGAAGTTTGCGACGTGGCTCTGAGTGCTGGTAAGAGCTCAGGTCTACGGCTGGAACGTGAACATTCCTAAGTTTTGGCACCAAAGGCCCTTGTGGAAAAAATGGGCCCAGCTAAAAACGCTGGTAAAAAGATCTGGTTATCCTGCCGCCCTGGGGTGCAACGCACACGGTAGCAGCTAGCTTTGTTGTGCTCCTATGTTGGCCTTAAAAACACATTAATAAGCCCTAATCCATACCTCTGCTCCTGACCCGTTTGGCCTGGGACCAAACACCCCCCAGGAGTCAATCTGTCTCCTGCTACTGCGCGTCTCTTGGGTCGGCTACGGCGCCTTGCTGGGTGTGCTGTACTTGACGCGGTACTTGTTGATGTTCATGAAGTGGAGCACCTCCGGGTGGCGGCTGGTGGTGCAGGGCAGCAGGCCGTCGCGGCCCTCCCCCATCAGCCACTTGTTGGTCTCGGCGCTCATGTCGCGGGTGACGTGCTCTTTGACCCACGCCTCCACCCAGGCCTGGAAGCGCTTGTGCAGTCGTGTGCTGACCCTCTCGTGTGACTGGGGGAGAGGAAAAAACGCACAAACCAAAACAATTGAACCCAGAAACATTTTGAGGATTATAGGCCGATATAAAGAGATACAGAACGCTGGACTGGGATCTGGGGAGTAGCTCGTACGTACCTGGTGGGCTCGCATCAGGGCAGTGCGTCTGTACATGTAGTCCTCGGACTTGAAGACGTACACCATCTTGTACGAGTTGAGTTTGAACATGCACTCCATCTTCTTCTCCAGAGATTTCTTGCCCCCCTCGCTGGCCTCCTTGTCCATTTGCTCTCGATTCTTCTGGTACTTTCTGATTCGCCTCAGGTTCCTGGGAGAGAACAGAATCACTGTCATGTGACCAGAGCTGGGAAAAATGTGTCAGGACATAGCCCCCACTCCAAAACAGGCTTTGATCCGATGAGTTCGTTTACCTGGGCAAAAAAACAGGCTTCTGAGCCAGGTGCTCCCTCAGCTCAGGGGTGGTGGAATCTGGGTTTAAGTAGCGGCCAACGTAATCGGACCAACGCTGCAAACACAAAGGTAAAACCCGGGGCGGGTTCTTATTGCACGGATGGGGTACGTGAATGCAACCACTGCACCAGTATTACCAAGAGGTTGGCAACAGATCCTTACTAGTATTTCCACTTCAGCTGGAAAAGTGGACCCTCTTACTAGACAAAATGTAAAAACAACGTCACTTTGCTGTAGAGAAATACCCCCAAAGTACAGCAATCATGAAGGTAGTAAAGATGCTACTTGTTTTTGTGAGATGGCCATTGAACTGAAAATGGTGATGTCTAGAAAAAGGTGAGAATTGGATAAATTTCAAGGCCAATAATGCAGAGAATAAAGAATTTGAACTTCTTACCTAATTGGCAGGTTGCTGTTTGCCAGAGATTACAGATAACAAAAATCTTAACAGATTTCTTTAGGTATTTTGGGACAGATGGATGGATGCATGGATTAACCATTCAACCATGCACTTTTCTCCTTATACTTAAGCTAAGGATTGACTGGTTAGGCTTCTCACCTCAACCTCCATGGGCTCGTCCGAGTTCTCCTCCTCCGTGTCCAGCAGCTCCACTGTGAATTGCACCTGCCCTCTGTTTTTCTGAAACATCACCTGTGGAAGTGAGCCATTAGATGGAGAGTCAGTTAGACCAAAGAGGACCGAAAGATGTGGAGGATTCAGGTCAAAGTTTGAGGAAGATCTACGTTCATTTGATGGACAGTGAATTGAGTTAGTGGGCAGTTGAAGATCACTACCAACTCCTGGGTCATTTTTTCGGATATCTTGTTACACAATTTAATAACCCTCAGCATGGGGGGGGTGGATCTCTTCCAACTGATGTGTTCATGCTAAAACTTTACAAATCTGTTGTTGGCCTGACTGGAGGTTTTGATAGTTTTCATCACTGAAACACGTCTAACACGTTCTCTCTCTCTACACTAGCTAACAAGGGGATGTTTTGAACTCACCCAACAACGACGGATCTATAAATAAAACTTTCCAATAACAGGTTTTGTTTGCGCATTGCAGAAAGGACGTTTAACCAGCTAACAAAGAGGAACGCTTTTTAGTAGAGGTGGGAATCCCCCGCCGCAGCAAATTAACTGACATTTGGATCATGTGATACAACCTCCCCTGCAGTCTTGTGGAAAATGACCCTTTCATTCCTCCCTGAACTTTAAACGAACTTGTCTTCCTTATTTCCGAAACTTTGGCCAAATATGGGATCTGTTCTCCACGGTCTTGTAGATCTCTCCGTCTTACCTTGAAGCAGTTCTCGTCAGACATAAGCTGCTCGGCTTTCCGCTGGTAGGCTCCTTCCGCGGGGCTCCTGGACAGCTGGGTGGAAGTGGCGCCCCCGCCGGCGCCGGCTGCGCTCTCTGCCAGGTAGAGATCCGTCACCTGGACGCAGATCTCGTCGCTCACTATGTGCTGGAGCTGCAGGGGGGGAGAGGGACAACAGTGGCATACGACTGCTGGACGGGTTCTTGAGGGTCTATTAACCCTAACCCTAACCCGGGCGAGAATGGAAGGATACCTGCCGGACGATGCTTTGGATCAGCTTGTCCATCGTGAAGGCGATGTAAGCGTGGATGGTAAACATTTCCCTCAGGGAGTCCTCATACTGCGATGCCTCCATGTTTCCGTCCAGCAAATTCCTCACCATCTCCAAGAAGGCGGAGTAGTAGTCTTCCACTTCGATGTCCACTGGAGGATAACATTAAAATGCGGGTTAATGTGTGGGAAAAGCTCTTAGAAATTCAAAACTTTACACTTCTGTTGGAAGAAAGGGGAGTTTGAGCACAAATGTCATCTACTCACTGGGCTCTTTCAGTCTCAGCTGGATGGCTGGGTTGTCGTTCTTCTCCCTCTTGAGGCCCAGCACTTCCTTCTCCCAGTCCCGTTCTCGGACATCCTCCTCGATCTGGCGCTCGGCCTGCCCGTAGAGCCTCAGCAGGCGCGAGCACAGCGTCTGGTGGAGCCGCAGGAAGATGTACCAGTTGTTGTTGACGTAGAAGAGGTTGTAGGCGTCGTCGCAGGCGCGCAGCTTCTGCGCCGCCGTGTTGCTGAACAGCAGCTTGGACTTGGAGGGGCTCCCGCCGCCGGGCACGCCGTTGTGCTTCTTGGAGGCGCCCTCCTCGGCCTCCGTCTCCTCTTCCTCCTCCTCCTCCTCCACGTCGGAGAGCTCGCCCCGCTGGGAGAACAGCATGTCGGGGATGAAGTGGTAGATGATCTGCTTGATCTTGTATTTGTCCTCCTTCTGGATGCTGGTTTGCCGCTTGACGTGGTGGATGATGAGCGCCGCGGCGTCCTCCAGGATCTGGCTGTCTTCGTAGGCCAGAGCCAGGTGTGGGCCTGCGAGTGGGGCGGCGCTTTCCTCCGACACCTGCTCCTGGCGCTGCGAGGAAAATGATTGCGTGTGAATATTTTTCTTTATGCTGCATCCAAATCTAAAAACCCTCCTTTCTGGCCAAGGCCTGACCAGATGCAGGCAGGGGGACACATTACCTCATCGTAGATGCTCTCGATTTCGTTTAACAGAGACTTGGATCGAAGCACTTTGGTGTCGTTCTGCTTGAAGTTGATGCCTTGGTGGTCCAGAGATTTGAGGTAATATTTCTCGTTCTGATCCCTCCAGATCTTGTTGAAACCTCGCTGGGCTTCCCGCCACTCTTCCTCCTTCGTCTTTAATCTGTTCAGAGTGACAAAATAGAAAACATGACCCTAAAGCCACAGGCTTACTGAGGCGATTTGGTCAGCCAAATCTACTCGGCTCATACAAACCTTTTTAACACGATGGGGACAGAAACGGCAGGGTTCTTCTTCAGGCCATCGATGATGTCGGGCGCCTTGTCTCCATATATCCTCTGGATGGCCTTGCGGTGTATGACCTCTGAGGAGCCGCCCAGCGTGTTGTCCAAGCGGAACTTTGCCTGTTCCTCCGCGGACATGCGAGACAACTTCCGCTGGACCGTCTCCAGCACTCTGATAGTGGCCAGGTTGGTCTCCAGCACGACATCCAGCTGCGAGGGGGGAGGGCACAGCCGTTTGCCGAAACTTTCCAAACATTTTCCCCCCCAAAACTGTGACATCGCGGTTTGCTTATGCTCACCTCAAAGCGTTCATCCTCACACCTGTAGATGTGCTCCTCGTACTGGGTCTTCTTTGAGCTGACAAATGTGGAGTCCTCAGACCACGAGGGAAAAGATACCCAGGTGTCGTTCAGGACCTGGAAGAATCAATGAATCAGAGGGATCCATGTGGAGGAGAACTCCAAATTAAAAAAAGGTGCATGTGCCTACTAATAAAATACAAACACTGCTCAAAAAGCTCATTCTATACAGCCGACAAAGAAGGGTCTGACTCTCGTCCATGATCTCCTCTCACCTCTTTACAAAGAGGAGTTCTGCCTGTACACTTGGGCTGCTGGTAGCTTTTAGGCAGAGCTCTGTAACTGGAGCCCAGCCTCTTACAGGAAGCATAATCGATCTCCATGGCGATGCCCTCGGTGGCCCGCTCCTTCGGATACGTTTCGATGTGAGACATTTCCCGATATCCCAGAAAGTTTTTGAACCAGTTGAACAGCTCAGGGAATTTTCTATGCAAAAAGATGAAAATGTATTTGAGGTGTGCACCTGATAGCCAACGAACAGACTCATATTTTACACTCAAGAGTCAACTGAGCAACTCACCCCAAAAATGGCAGGACCAACTGCACCAGCTCAGCCCTGGAGATCACCTCCTGGTTGAAGATGACCAGGCAGCGCAGGAAATTGTCGTAGGCCTCTGTGCTTCGCAAGGCTTTGCGCACCTAAGACAGTTTCAACAAGTTTAAGTTTCTAGTCATTCACATGCCCTCCGGGGTCCCGCTCGGCTAGAAATTAACTGGCAGGAAGAAAAAAAACAACAACAACAAAAAACCCACCTTCTCAAAGAACAGAGATTCTGTGCCGACTACATGTTGGTTGGAATCTGCTCCTGGGGAATCTTTTGAATTCAGTAACTTCGGCTTCTTCTGCAGCAAATGGAAAACAAACAAACAAAAAAAAGGACACACATGAGCGACAAAGTCCTGGTGGGAATGGAAAGCAAGTGGAAAAAGAGGCAGAAAATGTGAACCAACCTTGATAGAGGCGGTGGATCCCGGAGTGGGATGGCGTCGGATCTGGCAGCCGTTCTGATTGGGCCTCTGCTTGTTGTTAAGCTGCAGCTTTTTGGTGGTAACGCCATGGTCGTGGTCGGCCTTTTCCGCTGTGGTCTTGTTCAGGAGCTACAGGGAAAACGAAACAGGTGTCAAGTCTGTTCAGGTCTGTAAGTGCAGGTGATGAGGCCACAACATGTGTTGCACATCTGCATTTCAGAGTGGAAAATGGCTGCAGCCTCATTCCGATGTTTTTCTCACCACTGAGCTGTTGGCATCGGGGAGAAACTGCCCAAACTCGGACAGCAGGTCCTCTTGATTCTTGAACAGCCTCGCCACCTGAGCGTACACCTCCTGTTCCGTCAGAGCCGGCGTGTAGTTCCCCCCAGCCTCCTTTGCATTGCGCTGCTCCTTCTGTAGACCAAAAATACACGATGCAGATGTGAAAAAATATCCTCACCTAGACGTCCCTTCGAAAAAAATAAAATGGAGACATTAGGGGGACCTGGTATGTGTGGAGGATCTCCAGGAAGGCTTTGTAGATGTCTGGCTGGCCCTGGAAGCGGTTTTTGATCTTGTTGACGTAGTTGATGGCGTGGTTGAACTCCACCGGCTGGTTGTTCTGCATGGGCGGGCCACTGGGGGTCCCGCCGAGAGGTGGGTGGAGCTGCACGGGTGGGGACCGAGGAGAGGTGTACACGGGGATGGACGGATTGCTCTGGCTGCTTGGTGTCGATGCCTGCGGCTGAAGAGGCTAAAACATGAGGACATGATTAGTGCGTTGCTATGGAGTTTAGAGTAATGTGTTGTCCGCTGCTCAGCGGCCCGTCCCCCTCACCTTGCTCATCTTAGCAGGGGTGGGCTGCGTTAGAAGAGGTGGAGCTGTGGTGGTCACAGCAGAGGGCAGTTGGGGCGGATGCTGGGTCGCTGCTCCTGTTATGGGGATGTTCTGGACTGAGATGCCGTGGGGGGTGATGTGGTGGATCTGCCCCGGCGTCGTCACGTTGACCAGGTCGTTGGTCTGCACCTCGATCTTGTAACCCGGGGGGAGGAAAGTGTTGAAGCCCATGATGAGGTCGGGGTGGCCTTTGAAGAGCTGTGACACTCGGCTGATGACACCCGGAGTGTCGATGCTGGACACGCCAAAGCAAGAGAAGCGGGTTTCAGTCCGTGACTCTGTTTAGAGATTACCCTATCAGTGTGTGAAATCCAACTGCCTCACCTTTGGGACTTGAACTCTTTCATTATGTCTAAGAAGTCATTGTAGACCTGAGGCTGGTTGCCAAACTGCAGTTTTACTTGATCCAAGTAAGACAAAGCATCCTCCACCTAATGAAGAGAGCAGAGGGAAGTCAACTCCATCTCCCAGTCTGTTTAAATCATATTCTGGCAGCAGAGCTCTGATTCGGATATTAAAAACTGCTGCTCCTGTCCTGCGGCCCCTGAAATACTCTTTGGTACCAACTCAGGAAAAATAACTAGTTCAAATCTTACATAGTTTAAGAGACAATGTCAATTTTAAACCAAAGAGAACACGTCAATTTGAGACACTGTGCTTTTTGTGTCTGTCAAACTGTGTGGTCTGTGAAAGTTGGGAAAATAGGATGTCTTTTTTAGTGACATAATGCTGGAAACATCCCTTTGCACAGAAAGGACTGAAATTTAATTTAAAAAACAAGACACAATATTGCTAAAGAGGAAATTTGAAAGACTCTCTGAAAACATGGAAAATGATCAAAATAAAATCAGTTAAAGAAAATGGTACTACTTAGAAACAAAAATCTGCAAACCCAAAAGTTTCCCACTTTAGCAGCAAATATCTGTGACATTAAAAAAAGGAATATATATAAGGGGTGTGGGCTGGCGAACCTTAAGCCTCTGGAACTGTTGGTGGCCCGGTGCAGAGGCCTGCGGAGCTGCTGTGTGGCTGTGTCCTGACATCACAGAAGGCCCGTGTGACTGAACCGCCGGGCTGTGGTGGTGGGATCCCGTGTGGACGGCTGGGCTTGGAGTGTGTCCGTGTCCGCCGCTGTTTTGGGCCACGGTGGAGACCTGGGAGAGAAGCGAGGTTTCATTAATTTCCCTTGACTTTTGCCACTGAAATGTTGCCATAAAATCCCTGCTTAAGGGCGAGCCATGAAATGTAAAACAGAAGAGAGACGGGAGTGTTTCTTAAATGTGACCACTGTTTTACTTTAACTTGAAAATATAAAAAGCTGAAAAATACAAAGGCACTGTTGAAACAGGCTGCATTGTACCTGGTATCCCTGGGGGACGGTGTACTGGACGCCGGCTGTGGGCTGCATGTTCTCTGACACAGCTTCATACACAGCAGGAGCCGGGGCAGGGGCCAGGACACGATGCTGGAAAGCCTCAGAGTTGCCTGCAAGGCGCCGCTGCTGGGACGCAAAAACCGGTTCCTGATCCTCCAGACGCCGCTTCATTATGAACTCATACTCGTAAGAGCACTGAGACCTGGAAATAAAGAGCAAGACATGGACTGTACTTGAAACTGGCAGACCAGGAACCTATTGAACATGTCTGTCAAGATTTTTTAAAGCATCTTTTAACCAACTGTTTAAACCTGCTGCAGTTTTTTAAGCAATACTAACACAAAGCAAAAAATAAATAGCACCACAATGGAGAAAAAAATCTGAAATAGCCAGTAATCAGATAACCGATTTTATGTACAGGGGCCTGGGAGAGAGTTTATTTTGACCGACCAGGAACTTGTGAAACAGGTTTTGTTAAAAAAATACACAGTCCGACACGTGTCAGCTTCGTGTCCCGAGTTCTCTTAGCAGAGTGGAGTGGACGGGGCTCCATTGCGTCGGACGGGGCGCGCATCTTCGTGGATTAAAATGGTAACATGGACTGAATGTGCAACATGCAGCCTCCGCAGCCAATGGGACGCGGGCAGCCTACGTCACCGGTGCAACAAACAGGTGCTGTGGGAACGTGGGACTCCGTCTGCCATTCACAACTTCCTCCAGACTGCGGCGAGCTACAGGCTTTTGAATGAACCGTGGCTTCCATAAAAAAACGAAGGCGGAAACCCCGAGCGCTGAGAATATTGATAATAAAAACCGTTTCCTCAACCCCAAAGTGACACACTGAAGTGGCCGTGTGCAGCTAACGCTCCGGCTGTGACGACGGCGGAGGAGCTCCACTCAGCCGTCCGCACAGTCGCAGTCCTAACGGAGCCAGCCCGCCGTATTTAGACACACCGACTACCGTCGCGGTCGTAACGTTGCAGTCGCCAACGGGTGAAATAGCCAACTCGATTACATGCTATGTTTACACAGCCAACAGCACCAATTCCGTCCCGTCTGTGGCCTAGCAACACAAGCATCGACCTCGAGTTGCAACACGACGCCTTCCAACACGCCCGCCATTTGAGAGCGTGGCGCAGGAGTTCAGCAAAAGCCTCTCAGTTTCTTTCAGGTAAGAAAGAAAACTGTCCCGCTTCCATGTACTCCTCTTAAACGGTGAGTATAAAGCGTCGTATGCCGTTAATTTTGATAACACCTCCTAGAACTAGTTTTGTCGCCGGGGGTTTCGAGCTGCCAGTTAGCTACTAGCTAATGTAAACAACATGGGTAGACAGACAGGGAGCACCATCCGGGGCTAAGGGGGAAGCACATGCAGGTAACCACTAACGATATGTTTTTTTGCTGTTAAAACAATGTATAAGTACCACAAATAAAGTAATTATTATTCGAGTGATTGTATTCTGTCCATCTATAAGTCATTTACATGTGAGAAAACTCTGATCTCCTGTGTGTTGTACTTAAAACGCCTGCTAACCGTAAGTAGCTAACAAGCTAGTTGCATTAGCTTTCTGAATGAATTCAGCTGAACTCACCCCTCTCCCAAACAGCAAGCCGAAGTTCGCTGATGATGATTCGGTAGTCCGTTATATGTAGTTTGAGCGCCACACCTCTGACTAAAAAACACACGAATGCAGCGTGGTTGTGAAAAGCAACTTGTCAACGGCGTTGGACTTAAAATAAACAATTCAAACAGTGGCTGCAAAGTGAAAATCTCCCCGAGAGAGGAAAACAATCTCCGTCGGTTAGCTGAAGGGGGGGGCGGGGCGCTCACAAATATGCCCGCCCCGTGACATTCGCCATTGGACAGTTCACAGAGAATCCACACGGAGGCGGGGCAATTATTTGTGTTGTGAATTTGACCTGTCAATCAAAGATTTATGACACAGTTGCCAAGCACACCCCTCTGTGCTTGACTAGAAGCGCGACAATGCCTAGATTTATAATGGTCCCGGTTAATTTAGCTTAATTTAGTTTTTAAAAACTGAAAGCTGTTCTGTTGACTGAACATTAGAAGTAACTTAAATTAAACAAACTGCTACGAGCCATCCTTTCTCCAGTGTAAACCTTATTTATAATACAACTACTTGCTTAAATGCCTATCAATGAAGTTGTAGTTTAGCCTAAACATTGATTCATTACATTGTTTCTGAAAACACTCTTATTTAATGGATGAACACTGCACAATGTTACAAAAAACTTTTAAATAACGGTCAGTCAAACAAAGCTCCATTTAAAAATTCCCATTAGCTGTAGTACACAGCAATTTTTTTGCTGTTGTGCCATCTTTCCACATAACAATAGAGTCATACAGAGTAAATTGCACTCACTGTATACACTAAAAATTAATGAGCTTGTTGACAGTTCTCTGTAAACATGCAGAAACTACTTACAGCCTCATTCATTTACCAATTTATACAGCCACGTGACTTTTACAACCCTGGAGTTGTATAATTAGTTTTTTGTTTTGCAGGAATGTCATAATGTTGATTTGGATAACAGTTTACAGCAGTCCAGTTGATTGTTGTTTCTAAGATAACTATCATACATTTTAATTTAATTTATTTAAAATGTTAACTTTTCCAAAAACAAAGAGATTAGGAAGAATATATAAATTGGCCTACAATTATAACTAAGCGGTGTGCATCATTGGGTAAACCCAAACAAATAAACAAAATATATAACATGAATATATACTACATGCAGGGCTAAGAGTAAGTTTCTTTCTTTTCTTTTATTATTTTAACCTGGTTTTAGGTTTTAGTTTGTAGACTTTTCTCGGAACTAACAGTAGACGGCGTTGGACTACTTTCCCACTGAATTTCATTAAGTCATCTTTCCATCAGCCAAAAGGATGAACTGAAATCAATCTACATAATTGGTTACTTCCTGGACCTTGTGGACACGTGACTGTTCGAGCAGGGAGTCTGCCTTTGCACTTTCAAGCCCCTCCCACAAACCCCTTAAGGAGACCCCACAGCCAATCATTGCACAGAGTCGTCATTACAAATCCTTCCGAAAGGTGGAACTTCCAAAATAAACCATCGCCCACGACAGGCGGAGCTGCAACACCAGCCCGGGATTCCTCCCTCTTAACACAGGCAGAGGAATCAGCGGCGACCGCAGGCTGCCGCACAAACATACACTCCTCTGTCCCGACTGATTTTGCCTCTCATTGTGCACGCCATTCGACGGAAGTCGGTGCTTCACTCCGATACCAGAATTCAACCAAGCATAACGAAATGCCTAAAACGCACATAAACCAGCATTTACTCTGGTTTCCCGGGTCGTCGACGCAAGTTTCGCGAAACAAAACGCACTGCGGGCGGTGGAAACATCCCCCAACACCGAGCAACTCGCCCTCGCGCTGCGCCCGGGTCGGCTCCGGCTGCTCGCTCGAGACAAAAAGGGGCTCGCGACGGTAAACCGCCTCAGCCCGTTGGCGAAGGTCCGCGCGAGCTCCGGCGCGAGCGGAGAGGAGCGGGGCCTCGGCGGCATCTTTTTTTTGCTGGGCGGCGAGAGCCAGCCCAGTTGCCCTTATTAAACAATGCCAAAGTCAAACGAAACGGGAACTACGGCGCCGCTGTGCGGGAACGTCAGCACGACGGAGCCGCGCCATTCTCCGCCGCTCAGCCCCCCTTTATCTTCCCACGGAGGGGACGGCCGCGCTTTTAACGAGTGAATTCTTTGTTTACTTGAGTAGTCGGGGGGTAAAATGTCTAACCTGTCTTACCACAACAACCCCTCCTCCCACTACCGCCACCCCTACCAATGCGTTCGTAAACCCGTGTTACATTCTCTCGCTACCCCGCCGGCAAGAATGTTTCGACTTAAAGGCAGCGAGGTGCCTCGTATGTTCGCCCTACAAAGCCCGGGAGATTGTTTACTAGCCGACATAATGACGTGCTGCAGACCTGGCCATCCACCACGTTATGTTTCAGTCTATTCAACTGCCGTTTCCAAGCACTAAAAAGCCCCCTTTGCAATTCACATACGACCACAAACGGCCCGACTGGCCACAACCACCCCCCGAAATCCCCGCTAAACAGTTTTAGCGGCTACGGGCGTATTAATGTTTAGTTTAAACAGCTGTTACATACCCAGAAAAAGAGTCCTTACTCCGGATTCGTGTTTGTAACAAAATAGTTGGAGACGCCCCCCTCCGCTGGCATTGGCGCAGACTACCGCCAACGTCACTTTATTTTAAATACGACCCGCTAAAACCGAGGCAGCTCCACCGTCCAGCGCAGCAAAAGTTCCGACTACAGCAGGAAGAACGAGCCGTTTGAACCTTCTTCTAACGCATTTTCACGTTGCTTAAAGGTTATTGACGCCTGGGTGGAAATTAATGAGCGTCTGGACGTTAGGTAACTTCAATTTCAACAGATATCTTGAGAGAATATAGGTACTTTCGGCGTCAAACGTCAATTGTGCTGACAGATTTATCCAAAAGTAGCAACTGAAGAGCTAAAGCACTAGCATTAGCCATACTTCTGAAAAAGCTCTTCTACAAATCCAGTACTTTATTTCTACCAATGTTGGAATGTACGCTGCAGACATGAGGATGATTATGATACAAGAAAATAGTTTTTTATGTTTATAATAAGTGGCAAATGATAAAAATGTGCATGTGCCAGATAGATTACAACATTAGATGAGTAAATATCGTAACAATAATCTACCTTATGCTAAAGTTACATGTATTTTGAGACCATTTTATGTCATGTTTGCAGTGTTTTTACCATTTGTCTGATTAATTCTTATGTTTGACCATTAAAAAATGTTTGTGTTGCATCCTCTCCAGAGCCCAGACCTCAACGTGACTGAAGCAGAGGCCGATGATCTTGACAGAAAACGGAACCAAAGACATCCAAAAAAAGAGCCATAGGGTGTCCTTTAAGAGTCCAGGAGAACTGTCTGTAAAAAAAACACTGATAGAAATGACAGAAATTTTGTCCAAAAGGGTTCAGGCTGTGTTTGTGAACCCAAAGGTTCTAACTATTGGCTCTCGAACTTTGTGATTTTCCATTTACATTATGTACTAAACATATTCAAATAAAACTAATAGTCCTAATCCCTGTTTTTCTGGTGTTGTATGAAGAGGTGAGTGGTGGATAAGTAGTCTATTACAACTGCTTCTTATTTATCCAAAAGCAAAACACCCCTATTGTATTATGCTATTTGTTAAAAGATATTTAAATAAAGTATTCAGATGTTTTAAAGCTATTTGACACCCAGTGTCTCGATGTGTTTGGAGCAGGAAACACAATTCATCTGTGCCACACCCACCATTTTTCTGGGTTCCTGGTCATCTCCAGGACATCCCACTGGAAGTCAGACATGTACAAACATGGTGGAGAAGTTCTCGTAAAGCGCTAACAAGACTTGATAGTTGTTTTGTGGGAGAATATACTCTCAGAAGGCAAGTTAGCAAAGCTGAAACTTGCATATTTTTGCATTCAGAAACTTCATTGACTCAAACATCTGTACAACTGTATTCTAGTGCTTTTAATTACATTATTTACATGAATCTACATCTCTTAAGTGTCATTTGCCTTAGCTAAACCTCAAAATAAACTTCTGTATGCTCAGTGTGTAATGTAGTGACAGGTGTAACTGTCTGAACCATCAGTTGGGGTTAAGAAACAGAAACCATGTCACAGCGTTCCTCAAAAGTGTATTCCAGTGAGTTACTTCCACTTTGGGAGAAAATACGGGGTGTTTTCATCCCATGCTTTCAGGAAAAAGAAGACAGCCAACCAAAATGCTGGAGACATTACTAGAGGTGATTCAGAATCCATTTCTCGAGGAGAAAAGCAGTAAATTGCCCCAAGGTAAAATAATATAATTGTTAAAAAAAGGGGTAAAAGATGAAAAGATCTTCCTGTGGTGCTGCGTTCTGCTCCCAGCTGGGCTCCCTGCTTATCGGGAGCGCCCCTCATTTCCTTTCATTGCCGTCGATCACAAAGCTGCCCATTTTTCCCGTTGTGACGTAGTAGTAAACCAATCCGCCTTGTTAAACGCACAATTTGTGGGGTAGCAATTTAGACGAAGTGCAACCGCCATCTTCTATTTTAAGAGCCAAGTGGCTCTTTTAGATGTTGAGCTGTCAGTTGGAGGGAAAGGTGATCATTACCTAAAGTGTGTTCAGACAGGAGTGGAGCTCAGACTGGATTCTCATGGGATTGGGTGACAGTGTATCATGGTACGTGAACTCGTTTGTTTTCAGTTTGAGGAACCTTTGGATTTTCATCAAAAGAAGTATGACGTATGACCTTTCATCTGTTTATGGTCCAATTCTTTTTCTTCACTGTAAATCATCTTTTATAAGGATGCAAAAGTCCTCTATTGGATTAGTCAGGTGAGGAAGGAATCTCACCTGCCAACACTTTAACCCCTGCAGATTTATTCCCGTACAGCTGCCCCCCGGGGCGTATGTCCATCTTCAACCTAAAAAGCTTTGCGTGCATAATTTGTTATCACAGTAAGTCCCACCTGTGCTTGTCCAGTGGTGCCATTTAGTAAGGGTCAGTCTGTCGGGCCAAAATGTGACACTTTTGGCCAATCAAAAGCTTGTGCTTCAGCCATCTTCAACTCGAACAGCCTCCAAGCTGCTATGGCATCTACTGTCACACTTTCGAAGTCTCTTGAAGATTGAAGTTGGGTCATACCCTCCATTGTTACACACAATGGTTTAAAAAATTAAGTAAGAACACATCCTGTTTGTCTGTTTACATATGCAGCATATTAGCATCTTGTTTAAAGTTAAAACAAGGCTTTTTTTCTGCAAATAACCTATCCGCTCTAGCATTTTCTGCTAAAATATTTGTTTTTATGCTTTTTGACTGTTTGAAAATGCGTTCGGGACTGCTTCACTATCAGTACATGTGCACTCTGAGTAAAAACTACCCGTTACATGGTTATTCCTAAAGGCTGTTGACACCAACGGTACAAAATTAAATAGTGAGGGCACAGCTCATGAGCCCATTCTAGTTATTTGTCATCAAAGCACGTACTGTTCAAGCAACCGTCTCCCTTAAGAGGACAGAAGTCGGTTACCCGCCAGTTTTCCTTGTTTTTCGTTTGCGTTCACTCTGCGACACCTACATTCTGCCAGCTGTCTGAGCCCAGGCAGAGGTGATGTCCACGAGTGTGAGCCAAAACAATAAAGCTGCAGACCAAGAAACAAGACATGCTTTATTTTGGTGAGAGGAGTAGGTTTGGCTCAAGGGCCCATCAGTCGACCAGCTGCTAACATCAAATCACTCTTAAATTATTCAATTAGAAGAAGCATAATCCTGCATCTTAGTGAGATTGAACTAAACCTAAATTGTACACATGGTGTTACGTCTTGGAAGTAGACAACCTCTCTAACTTTAGGATCAGAGTATCTACTTTAGGGATGATTATTTAATCTCACATTCGCCTTGTGACTGGACCGAAGAAAGATTTCTGTGCAAGTTGTTGATTTCTTAAGCAAGGAAAATTTGAACCAATATGGAATTTAATTGATTTCCAATAGAATTAATTTAATAAATTTCAAGTCAGTTCAGTGAGCCAGAAAAAACAAAACACACAACCCTTACAAACACGTGCTGACGTAGTTTTGTATTTAATACATAGCTTGAATCAATAGTTATAGGAATGGTAACATAATGGGCTATAACAGAACGAATAGAAAAATGAATATAGATAGCTGTAATTGTATGAAAACATTTGCCGAACATAATAGAAAAATAAAATAGGGCACATTTTTGCATCTATTGTCGAGAGGGAAAAAAAAACTAACCCTAAAGTCAGAGTACATGAGGATGGTGGACTCAACACAAAGGCTTCACTTCCAGCAAATTCAATATGAATTCTGTAGTAAAGAGCACAACACAATGCAATGCAAGGCATGACAGAGAGACTCTGCTTTTGTACGGGGTTCTATAATGATGGCGAGACACCGAGACCAGATGAAAGCGCTGGCGAAAAGTAGCAATATTGAAAATATATCTCTCTGACAGGACGTGACGGAGGCTGTGGCGGGCACGCGCTTGTGCTTATTCGTTCCTCTGAGTCCTTCTGCCAGCGGAGCTATGCAGGCGTTTACAGTAAATATCGCTACGGGTTCCAAAAGTTATGCAGCGCTACGTTTACGACAACGACGACGACAATCAAGTTGTCCCACACGGGTACTTTGATGCTTCATCCGTCCTGTTCCAAAAAGCCATAGGGAGCCATCTTGGAACATGTTGGGAAAAGGTATTTCAAAGTGCTAAGATGTGATATACACACACAGACAAACACACACACATATATATATATATACACATATGTGTGTGTAAATAGAACAAAAAGAAAAGAAAAACAACATATTGCACAACTCATGAGGTCTTCCCTGCTGACTAACACAAAGGTACGCCTCAGAGGTGGAGTCACTCCATCATGGTGTGTGCGGGGGGGGGGTTGGAAAAGGCCGGACAGCAGCAGCAACAACAGCTTCAAGAAACTCAAACTGACCGGCGCACCGGCCGACGGGGCCGTGGCCGCGGGTCAAGCAAGCGAGAGTGAAAATCCAGTGAACTTGTTGGCTTCTGATGGGAAAAAGAAATCCAGAATCGAAGGCCGGTCAAAGTTTGGACATCATAGCTGGACTTCGAAGGAGGAAGGTGACTTAGTTCACTATTTGACATTTCTGTTGTATCTACCCAGGTTCATGCTAAAATCCTTTATATTGGTTCCATTTTGGACAAAAAAAAAGGTATGCCTGAAGGGCTGAGCAGAATATGGGGCACGCTCTTTTTCCTGTTCATTGCAAGTGATGTTATCTCATTGATTTATAACTTGACCCGTGTTGACCAGCATCCAAAGAGCCGAGTTTGGAAAGGTTGGGATTCGTTCCTTCCTGTACAAATGTTCCCATTCAGACTGTAGCCGCCGTGAAATGATGCTATTAATCCCACGTGAAATGTAAAACACCGCAGCCACTCCGACTGTAAATGTGTCGGCAGTTTGTCAGAATTTTTCAAAGTAATGATTATTCATACAAAAATCCATGGTCCGGTGTCCTCTGTGAACCTCAGAAATCAATGTGGCTCTCAGCCTTTTAGAACAAAACAGAATTCAGATTGCTTTATGAATCCGACATCGCAGTCATCAAAACAGCTCCTCTGACGTGTTTTTCTGAGGTTTCCATTTTGTTTTTTGCCACATGACCCGACCCCAGACACATGGCTAATGACCACACACAATCTCCCTCTACAGGCCAATTGTTACTGTACTGGTATGGGAAAAGAGGTGTCTTTTTTTCTCTCTAACTTTTTCATTTTTCGTTAAGTTGGAGAAGCAATTAAAAACAAAGCGAAGAAAAGAAGGTGTAGCAGCTACTCAGAAGTTGTCAGAGTCTTTTGGATGTGCTTGAACCCTCTTTAACTGCAGGATCAGAGAGAAACATCGGCGCCTTTGCTCAAAACCTGAAGTTTGAGAGCACTGAAGATGTTGTTTGGCAGTAAATTTTAGCCTGTTGTTTACCTACTTAACTAGCGTGTACCATCTATCTGACATTTACCAGCTGCTCAAAATGCAGGGGTGAATATAAACAATGAGTGGACACAAAAGGTTAAAAAAATCAAAACAAAACTTATTACATAAATATAATGAATATATATTTGTTACCTAATGGTGGAAATCAGAAACTGTATGTTTTGAAATAACAATTTATCCCGGGTTGAATTAATTTGGCCCTGAAACACCTAATTTAGCTACAGCAGCAGGTAAAAGAAGGAAAGCTTTTGTGTTTTTTGTTTTCCCTGGACTGCGACGGCTACCTTTACATCACCTGTTGTGATATTTCGGATTAAACTACCCCCCATTTAAAAAGGTCCCCATCATTGACAGGAATAAGTTAAGGACTAACGTTTGCTCAGCTGACTCCCTGTGCCCGACCAGACTACCTGGAGCTGGTTGGCTTTTCAGAGATATGTTCGGTTTCAGACAAAAAAAAAAAGAAAAAAAAAGGAAACGTCACATTGCTGGCAGCCATGATATAGTCACATTAAAAACATCACGTTAACAATCAAGCTGCTTTTTTTGTTGCTTTTTTTTTCTCCTTTAAATCGTCACAGCGTCGTCTCAGTCTGCGTCTCAAAACTCTGCTCCGTTGAGGAAATGAGTGGCGTTCTTGAACTAACCGGCTGAACTACGTGGGTCCGAGGATTGGCGACTGAGGGGGGGGTCATCGGGGGTCGAAGCTCACTGATTGGACGGTAGCAGGCCCTGTCTTTGGGCGTGCTCCAAAATGGCGTTGTAGCAGAAGTAGTACTGGTCCGGGGTTTGGATGCTGAAGGCCCTCTGAGTCCTCATGCGTCTGACCGTCTGACACACGTTGAGCGAGCCCACGTCCTGGAGCTGGGACAGGCAGATGTCCAGGGCGCAGAAGGTACCTGCCAACAACAACGGGGCTCGGTTAGAAATCAGCGACGTTTGGCAGAGGAGACCACCGTAGGCCCAATCCGATGGAGCTCACCCGTTCGGCCGATGCCTGCGCTGCAGTGGACCACCATCGGGGGTCCCAGGGGGTGGCCGGTCCACTGAAGGCCCAAAGCCTTCACCATCTTCCTCTGCTGCTTCTTCACGGCCCCCAGGAAGTCGATGAGGGTGACGGCCGAGGTGGGGACCCCGTAGTCGGGCCAACTGAGGTACTGGAAATGACTCACGTGTCTCTGCTCACATGTCTGAGCAGGCGAAAAGTACAAAAAACAGAACATGAAGGGTACAAAAACGTCCTAAATGACACTAATATGGGGAGCAAAGAGAGATATGAAAATGATGAGAACTAACTCATCACCTGATGAGAATGCAAAACTTCCACTCTTTACTCAAGAATTCCAAATTGTATAATTCTTGTAAAAATGACCATGTTATGTTTTTGGGCTTCATTTGGAAGAATTTGGCATATCAGAAAAGCTCATTTTACAACATCTAAAACCTCTTTGTGACAGTTCCAAGTGAACACTACATCTACATCCATTTTTTAATACCAGTCAATGGTTACATTCACCTGGTCACCTTTTTCAAAAAGTTTTTTAGGTACGCCTGTTCAATTGTTTGTAAGCAGGAAAAGCTAATCAGCCAATGGCATGGCTGGAACTCAGTGAGGTCAGGACAACCTGCTGAAGCTCAAACCAAGCATCAGAATGGGGAAGAAAGGGAAGTTTACATGGTTGTTGGTGCCACACGAGCTGGTTTGGTTCATTCAAAAACTGCTGATCTGCTGGAATTTTCACACATAACTAAGGTTTATGGAGAATGGTAAAAACAAAACAACAGAAAATACCCAGTGAGCGGCAGCTGTGTTGTTGTGAGAGGGGAACGAGCAGACTGGTTTGAGATGATGGAAAGGGAAAAGTTACTAAAAGAATCACAACCAAAGAATTCAGAATAGCCCCTCTGAATAACTTGGGTCAATGGATCAGGCTGGTGGGGGTAGTATAATGGTGTGGGGGACCTTTTTTTGAAAATGTCTGTGCATAGTTAAATGTGGGATTTGGTGGACCAACAAAGGTTTCCATTACCTTGTTGAAAGTATGCCAAGATTAATTACAGCTGTTCTGATGGCAAAAGGGGGTCTTAAACTTTAACTAACAACGTGCAACTCATAAAGTGGACCATAAGTGGATATTTTGTTACATTCTATCTTCAATCAACAAAAAAAATCAACATGACAGCAGATACAAATTGAATACTCAGCAGAAACTGCAAATTCTTTTTAAACTTTGACCATGAAGTCACGCGTTGGTCAAGTAAAAAGGGCCTGGACTGCGCAAGTAAACCGGTATTTAATTTGATTTTGTAATGATTTACTTGAAGTGTGTAGTCTTTAAGATGAAAGAAGAAATAAAAAGCAAGCAGAGGAAAATAGGCTTCAAACCACACAGACAGTTGAGCAAAAAAAAAAGAACAAACAGCGATGGTACCTCAGTGTTGTGGAGCTCAAGGGTGGTGTGGTTGTAGTGGGTGTGATGGTCCACCCTTTGGTTCACCACCGCAATGTGGCCGTAGACTTCCTGCCCGCCCTCCTCCAGGGGCCAGTACTGTCCACACTTCCTCCGGCTGCCTTCGTCCGTCCTGACAGACAGAAGTTAATGACGACTAATTCCGATTCCCGATCCCCATCCCCACTCAAACCGTTCAAATTACCTGGTGGTCATGACGATGACGAGGACGTTTTGCTCCCAGGCCATCCTCCAGAAATCCCCGTAGGTCTTCTCCAATGGACCTGCAAATTCGCAGGGCATTTGGTGTCAAAGAGATGAGAGGCACCGACCACCGAAGAAACATCCCCCATGAACACGCA